TATATATATATATATTAAAAGCACGAAAGTCCTTAGCGAAATGTTTTACCCTTTAAAAATAAATTTCAAACAAGACAAAATAGTCATTTAACTATTGTCCTATAATATAGGAATTTGAAATCAATTAAAATTGTACATATATCTTTCCTTATTTGAAATTATATGTAATTATTCCTAATATACAGGACTCACGCATACTATGACTCAAAAAAAATATTTCCTTTTTTTAAGAAAATAGACTTAAGTTTTAAACGATTGCAATTTGCTTCGTTAACCAATAAAATATCTTCATTTATTTATGTCTTAATTTTAATAGAAAACATATCCAATATTAGACAAACTCAATTGCAAACGAAACGACATTAAATTTTTCTCCAATTATTCCNTTCAACATTATTCATTTATAAACTTTACATTGTCACTTATCAATTTTTTATGACCTATAAGACAGCATTTTCATTCCCAAAAGACTAAAATAATTAATTTTTGCTATTTACTTTATTAAATAAATCTTAATAAAAGCATTTTTATGTTATTGGTTTGTTTTCATATATATCATGAAATAATAATAATTTTAATAATATATTTAAGTAGAAGTCCTCATAATTCACAATAAGCTATCTGAATACTTCTATGAACAATATTACTCTCATTACTGAGCTAGCTGGGATCACCATTCATTTTTATCATGTAGAAAACTCAAATATTTTTAAAGAAAAATATTCTACTTAAAAAGGAAAAACTTGTGTTATGGGAAAACTTAGTTGATTACCTAACGAAATTATGGACTTTCTTTACCCCTTTTTATCTATATTTTGAATTGTAGAAATATCGTGTTTTACTTTGAACATAATTTAATTTCTTTTTAGAAAGTGCTAAGTTTATTTTAATTCCATATACGAAAAGAACCATCTTTACTTCTTTATAAAATTATTTTTGATGTGAATTATTTACAAAAGTAAGAATACTATAATTCAAAATATACATAGTATATAATAATAAAACTATTTTTAATGTGAATTATTTATAAAAGTAAGAATACTATAAGTCAAAATATACCTAGTATATAATAACAAAACTATTTTATAGTGAATGGAGTCAGAGGTAAATAAAACATATTCATAGTTTGAATTGACTTACCTTTTTAAGTTGTTTCCTAAAAAAAGTTAAGAGCTATAGACAAACTGAATTGTTGTTGCAAGCATTGTTAATACAAATTAATATATTATGCTTACTTTGTCTGGACTTCTAAACTAAAAATAAAATTCTGAATTACTATAAGGCATATGAAGACTTCTACGCCCTATTTTGTTTTTTTTTTTATAGAATTAGCTAAACAAAATTAATATTTATTATTTTTAGGAAATCACATTATTTCATCTAATTTTTTACAATTCAAGATATATTTTTAATAATACTTATGTGATTTTTAAAACTTTTTACTCATGAGTACACGCGCAAAGCGCGCACTCTAAAACTAGTTATATTAAAAGCACGAAGGCCCTTAGCGAAATGTCGTTTGCCTTTTTTATCCTTTAAAAATAGAGTTTAAATTGTACAAAATAATCATTTTAGTAATTTTCCTAATATTTAGGACATGAAAATTAATGTATGGTTTACTTATAAATCTTTCCTTATTTAATTGTGTAAAAAGTCCTAATTTATAAAATTTAAAAACTAGTTTATATTTACATTATAGAATTTGTTTTCTTTCAGAGTATGTAACAAAACTATAAATATATGCAACCAGTTTCACGAATAAACGATCAAATGGTCTCAATATAAAACACTTGAAGATCTATCGAAGAATGCTTTCAATTTTCAGCCTAATACATTTCCATATTATAGTTAAACTACTTTTCTACTAAAACAACATTTTTCCATTTGTCAACCTTTTAGTATAATATTTAAAACTACCCTCAATAAATACAATAATTAAATAAGAAAACATTTAAGAATATAAGAGAGAAAAATAGTTACTAAGAGTCAAAAACACTAATAATACTGCAAACACAAATATCTAAAAATAAATTATAATTTTGTATCTCTTAAAAATATATAAAAACACGAAGTCCCTTATAAAAATATCGTTCATCCGTTTTACCTTATAAAATTACTGAAAAATAATTATTTAGTTATTTTCATAATACATAGGAATTTGAAATCAACTAAAGTCTTCGTTATTAATTCTTCCATTATTTAAACCAAGAAATATTAATAGTTAAAATTTTAAAATCAATTAAAATTTACTTTAGATTGAATGGTAAATACTAAACGCTAGAATTTGTGTATATTATTGTTGAGTTATAGGTTAGTGATGATAGGCTATAATTACGTATTTTAGTCGATTATTACACTCTAATTTACTGCACTTTAGTTGAATTTGCGCTTTAATCGCTAGTGTTTTGCACTAACTGTGTGTTTTATGCCTTGTAGGAGTGATTCCGAGCTATATAGATATTATGGAATGAATTCAAGTGATTTGGATCTTTGAAGTCTGAGTAAAAGCCCAAGAAATTAAGTCGGGATCGTATTCGGGGATCAACGGATGATAGAGCAACAAAACGAAGAATCGACTAGGCATATTGCGCATGGTCTAGTAAAATACACATAAACTTTTCGCTCAGAACTCCATTTGAGCTCCACAATATATAGTTGGAAAGCTAACTCAAAGGGCTACAACTTTCATGTTTTACGTTTTTCCAAATTCCAAACGGAACAGGGTGAAAAATGCGGTAGAAACCGCGACCGCGGACCTGACACGGACTGAAACAGTGTACTTGCAAAGTACCGCACCCGTACCGTGGCCGCGGACGTCCAGGCCTAGAAACTTGTCCTTTTTTTGCATAGGAGAATGTATAATTGTTTGGTCCCGACCCTACTTGGTATATATACATGGAAAAATGGTATTTTGAGAGGTTGGACACACTTTTGACATAATTTAGACCTAAGGAGGCTAAGGAGACCAATTTTTGACACTGATTCGACTTAAGAAGTCAGAGACACAATAGGAGCAAGGCGGGGAATTCTTCTACGAGTTTTTCCTTCCTCTTCCTATTTTTTATTGTTGGTTATGATTTTTAATATTGTAATTTTACATACTATTATGAATAACTAATTTGTTATCTAGGATTTTGATAGAACCTTTTGTATGATAAATTCTTGTTATGTTTTTATATAATTGAGCCGTTGGATTTCTCTACTTGTTCAACTACGTGTTTATTGTTGTTGATTGAATGGCCATCGATTGACTGTGCCTATTTATTATGTGTTGCTTGAGAAAGGATACATATTTAGGTGGTTGTTGAACAACGTCACTCCTAACGTATGTGAGAAATCAATATATTGGGTTTAAAGGTAGGTTTAGAAATAACAAAGCCTTGACGTGGTCATAATGAGCGGTTAGATAAAGCCAACTAGCGTAGTTCGAGAGAATATGTCTAGTAAATTGTTGTAGTTGCTCGAGAGAGAATTACGGCACCTAAAGTGCTCACGATCAGTAGAGAATACATTGGCGAAATTGTAGGGAACATAACTAGAAGGATTCCGACAATTGGGGAAATCATAACTCTAGACCTCCTTAATTTAGTCTCCAACCCTTTGTCTCGTTAGTTGATAATTTTACCGTTTTCTAGTATTTGCTAGTTAATTAGTTAGAAATATAAATCTCAATTTTTATAATTTAGAAAATTGTTCAATCTTGTCTTCTTAGTGATATTAAACAGATACAACTAAGCCTTAGTTCTTTCTGGGATTCGACTCTGAACTTTTAGACCGGATTATATTTGCAGCGATCGCTTATCCTTTTTAGGACTAGAGTTGGGCGTGATCAGTTAGAAACCCGAATGCTGGGTTAAAAAGGAGTGTATGCCTCCTTTTAAGAGCTCTAATATCTATTTCTTTTATTTTTAACTGTACCTTAAATTAAAAGTATTTTATAATTTCATTGATCCACAAATACAAGACACAAAAGTCTAAAGGATTTCAAAACAAAATATATTTAGTTTAGAAGTAAAAAATGAATATTAACACTAATTTTTATAATAAATTAAATTATTAAAGAAAAAATAGTCATTTAATTATTTTTCTAATATTTAGGACATAAAAATTAATTAAAATTTTAGTTATTAAAGTTTTCTTTTATTTGGAATAGATATGAAATCGTAGTATTTAAAACTTAAGAGCAATTACGAGTTTACCATGTATAAAATATTGTTTTCACTTGAACTATCTAAATATAGGTTTAAGTTAAAGAAGGAAATTTTTGGGGCATAGTTTTGTTTTTCCATTGAAGGGTCCTTTACAATTTGTTTGGATGGTTGTTACATTTCGTTTCATAATGTATCGTATCGTATTGTATTGTACTGTATCGTTTGATGAATACAATATTTGGATGAATTGTGTCGTTTTGCCGTCGTTTCATGGTATCATGTACTAGTAATATGATGAATAAACTTGCAATATTACAAAGAAAAATTATGACATGGTAAATAAAAAGGTAGGGTAAATGATAAAATAAAATTTTTAATAATAATGAAGGGTGAGATTGAGAGAAAAATACAAGGAAACGACGCGACCACACCAAATC